TGTGTGTGTGTGTGTGTGTGTGTGTGTCAGGACATGAGGAACCTGCGATTTGCTCTGAAGCAAGAAGGCCACAGTCGAAGAGACATCTTCGAGATTATTTTCAAATATGCTTTCCCACTGTCTCATGGAATGGTTAGTGTTTGATGTTTAACTTTATTCTCAAATGCGAATTTTTAGACTCGTTCAGAAATGATTTAAAACTAAATTAATCACTTCTGTGAATTTTATGCAGTGCGATTAAGTGTTGTTTCAACAATTCAGCATTTCACAACTGACTTTCATCAGTAGCAGAATGCATGAAATACTGGTTTAACTTACTCTCTCACTTTTCTTTCTTTGACTTTCACAGCAACTCTTTGCTTTTCTGAGTCAGGAGAAGTATGAGGAGAATGGCTGGAACATGTATGAGGCCATGGAAGAGTACAGGAGGCAGGTGAGGACCAGATGCCAGGACTTGTGCTAGTGTAGAAACAGTCGTGCTGCCCTTGTTCATCCTTCTCACACTCACCATTCACTTGCAAATATAATATAATTCTAATGTAATGGCATAAAATACTGCACAGTGTACTTTTACTAAAGATTGTGTGTTGTTTTTCTGTTCTGGTTGTCAGGGTGTACCCAATAGTGAGTGGAGGGTCACTTTCATCAATAAGAACTACGAGCTGTGTGACACCTATCCCACAATTCTTGTTGTTCCATACAAGGCCACAGAGGAAGATCTTAAAAGAGTCGCTACCTTCCGCTCCCGCTGCCGCATCCCGGTGAGCTCTTTTACAGATGGCCAGTATGAAAGGCCAGAATCATGGTGTGGTTTTTGTTGGAAGGTCTTGTTCAAGCTTTTGCTGCATAACGCAGGCTGTTTAGTGGAAATGTTTGGAGAATGTCAATTTCAGTTTTTGAACATGAATAAGAAAGCAATGCTTTTCAGATTTATCTGATAGTATATTTACACATGTTTACTGTGATATGTGGTTGGACGTTGTTTATATATCTCTGTATGATGACAATGACAGAGATGCATTAATATTAAAATTCTGTCCAATGCAGTAAGCAAATAATTATTTTCGAGTTATGGCTGATAACCAATAAATGATGATGACCAATAAATACCCAATATTGAAATTCTGTGCTAGTTTGTCTAAATAAAAAAATAATTCTAAAAACTAAAATCAGACATCTTAAATGCTGCAAGTGGATTTATACATCACAATACTATAATGCACAGTATGAAAATTGAAGGTTCATTTTGAGATCTGCTAAAGATAAAGAGTGATTAACAGTTTTATTACACTAATACTGTTTTTAAAAATTAAGTGAGCATTACATGGCGGAA